ACCCACCACCCCAAGAACAACATCCCATGCCCACTACCCCATAGATACCACCCTGACCCCTCAACCCACCACCCCATGGGCACCATCCCATGCCCACCACCCCATGGCCATCACCACATAGATACCACTCTGTGACCCCAACCCACAACCCCATGGACACCACCCCATGCCCACCACCCCATGGGCATCACCAAGACCCCCCAACCCAGCACCCCACGGGCACCCACCTGACGCAGTAGATGAGGTGGTCCCTCCAGTCGGCCGTGCCCGTCTTCTTGCCGTCGGTCTGGGTGGCCGTCATGGCCAGGCGGGTGGCGTTGTTCTGGAAGTACTGGGTGACGCTGTTGACGCAACAGTCCTCCAAGGTGGGCTCCTGGGGGTTGAGGGGGGCGTAACACACGTCCTTCAGCGTCACCTCCTTCCCCGAAGACGGGGCCACCACCTTGATGGCCGCTAACTCTTCCTGCAGCTCCAAGAGGGCCTCCAGAACCTCCCGTGACAGCACCCCGCTGAAGTTCTTGGCTCCAAACAAGACGGACTCGTAGCCCATCCCCGGTCGCCCGGGGGCCGTCACGATGATCTGGTTGGTTCGGAAGAAAGGCCCGAAATGCTGGTCGTGAAAGGCTTTCTCTTGCCGAGCGCGGCTACCGGGAGCCGACCACAGCTCCACCGGGTCGGTGGTGAGACGTAAGGTGGCCAACCCTCCAGCTAGCCCTCCGGCTACCGCCACGGCCACCACCAGCACCACCACGGGGTGACCGGCCACCCAGGTGCCCCACCAGCAGAAGGCAGAGGCTAGTAGCCGGTGGCTACTGTCGCTCAACGTCCTGCAGCAACCATCGGCCGGCGGTGGTTGGGGCTTGGGGTGGGTGGACTTGGACCTACAGCGCCGGCAGAGAAGGACGGTGAGGAAGGTGATGGCCAAGAGGCCGAAGAGCAGCCCGCAGACCACCAGAGCCCCGTCAGCGTTGCCCAGGCGGAAGGGGGGCGGTGGGCTAGTGGGGGCCAGCAGAGGGGGGCAGGATTGGGCGCAGTCTTGGCAAGAGCAGGGTTGGCCCTCGGGGCTCAGAGCCTGGTGGCAACCCCAAGCGCGACCGTCCAAGGGTTGGATGCCCTCCCCGGGTTGGGAGCCGTTGGCTACCAGCTGGAAGTCGATCTGGAGAGGGGCCAGGCCGTTGTTCTTGTCCCCTTGGAAGTCCAACCAGCGTTGGGTGGTGCAGAGTTGGTGGCCGTAGCGGCCACACATGGTGTCGATGGCGTAGCCCCCCGTGGCCGGCAAGCGCACACCTTGGCAGGAGGTGAAGGCGGCGTCGGCGAAGCTCCGCCGGTAGAAACATTGGTACTCCACCACCGCCTGGGGAGAAAGGGCCGGTAAGGAAGGGTTGGTGGCCACCAAGGAGGAGCTGCTGGTGGCCACCAAGGAGGAGGTGTTGGTGCTCAATCAAGGAGGAAGGGTTGGTGGCCACCAAAGAGGAGGTGTTGGTGCTCACCAAGGGTTGGTGGCCAACAAGGAGGAAGGGTTGGTGGCCACCAAGGAGGTGTTGGCGCTCACCAAGGCAGAAGGGTTGGTGGCCACCAAGGAGGAGGTCTTGGTGCTCACCAAGGAGGAAGGGTTGGTGGCCACCAAGGAGGAAGGGTTGGTGCTCACCAAGGAGGAAGTGTTGGTGCTCACCAAGGAGGAAGAGTTGATGCTCAACCAAGGAGGAAGGGTTGGTGGCAACCAAAGAGGTATTGGTTGCCACCAAGGAGGAAGAGTTGATGCTCAACCAAGGAGGAAGGGTTGGTGCTCACCAAGGAGGAAGTGTTGGTGCTCACCAAGGAGGAAGAGTTGATGCTCAACCAAGGAGGAAGGGTTGGTGCTCACCAAAGAGGAGGTTTTGATGCTCACCAAGGAGGAAGAGTTGGTGGCCACCAAGAAGGAGGTGTTGGTGCTCACCAAGGGTTGGTGGCCACCGAGGAGGAAGGGTTGGTGGTAACCAAGGAGGTGTTGGTGCTCACCAAGGGTTGGCGCTCACCAAGGAGGAGCTGTTGGTGGCCACCAAGGAGGAAGACTTGATGCTCACCAAGGAGGAAGGGTTGGTGGCCACCAAGGAGGAAAAGTTGGTGCTCACCAAGGAGGAGGGGTTGGTGGCCACCAAGGAGGAAGGGTTGGTGGCCACCAAAGAGAAGGTGTTGGTGCTCACCAAGGAGGAAGGGTTGGTAACCACCAAGGAGGAAGAGTTGATGCTCAACCAAGGAGGATGGGTTGGTGGCCACCAAGAAGGAAGAGCTGATGCTCACCAAGGAGGAGGTGTTGGTGGCCACCAAGGAAGGGTTGGTGGCCACCAAGGAGGAAGAGTTGATGCTTACCAAGGAGGAAGGGTTGGTGGTCACCAAGGAGGAGGTGTTGGCATTCACCAAGGAGGAAGGGTTGGTGGTCACCAAGGAGGAGGTGTTGGCATTCACCAAGGAGGAAGGGTTGGTGGTCACCAAGGAGGAGGTGTTGGCATTCACCAAGGAGGAAGGGTTGGTGGTCACCAAGGAGGAGGTGTTGGCATTCACCAAGGAGGAAGGGTTGGTGGTCACCAAGGAGGAGGTGTTGGCATTCACCAAGGAGGAAGGGATGGTGGCCACCGAGGAGGTGTTGGCATTCACCAAGGAGGAAGAGTTGGTGGTCACCAAAGAGGAGGTTTTGATGCTCACCAAGGAGGAAGGGTTGGTGGCCACCAAGGAGGAGGGGTGGGTGGCCACCAAGGAGGAGGTGTTGGCGCTTACTAGGGTGGAAGAGCTGGTGGCCACCAAGGAGGAGGTGCTGGCGCTCACCAAGGGTTGGTGGCCACCAAGGAGGAAAGGTTGGTGCTCAACCAAGGAGGTGTTGGTGGTCACCAAGGAGGAAGAGTTGATGCTCAACCAAGGAGGAAGGGTTGGTGGCAACCAAAGAGGTATTGGTTGCCACCAAGGAGGAAGAGG